TCCATTGGAATTTGGTTATAGCCTGAGTATGCATCCATAAAGCTCATCAGTGTCCCGCAGTGGCATCTACCATGTAATCAATATGAGGTAGCGGGTAGCTGTCTTTCGGACAAGCTTTATTCAAGTAGGACAAATCAATGCAAAGTCGCCAAGCTCCAGAACTCTTCTTTACCAGAACTGGATTAGATACCCAAGTTGGATATTTAGTTTCTTGTATGAACTTGCTGTCGATCAACTTTTGAACTTCTTCTTCAAGAGCCTTTTGTCGGTCTGGACCGAGTTTACTTCGTTTCTAAACCATTGGTTTGATAGTTGGATCCAAATTAAGTCGGTGTGAAGCCACGTTGGGGTCAATTCCCTTCATATCTTCATGCTTCCAGGCGAACACATCTGAATTTGCCTTAAGAAACCAAATGAGTTGAGTTCGTATTGGTTCTTCCAGATTGGCCCCAATTTGAAGTGACTTATCGCGGACAGGATCATCAATAAAAATTATTTCAATTTCTTCTGATGGTTCAGCTCGGTTGAGTTTCTTTTTCTTTTTGAATTGAGCACGAGGATCAAGTTCGTCTTCTTCGCGGACTAGTTCTTTTCTTGGACGTCTTCCACGATCTTGAATTAAATCACCATGAAATTTGATATTTGAAATTTCCGACTTCTTGGATGATTCAATTTCCATCTCGGTAGTGAAAGATACCGAGTTCTCAGGAGTTGAGAATTTTTCTCGTTTGTCCTGGACATTTTTTGCCATATGTATCGGATAAGGTGGTTCATGCCAAGGCTTGACTCATACCATTCCACGAGCTTCATATTGATCTCCATAATGGGTTCCCTCTCTGTTATTTGTGGGAAATTTTAAAGCGTAATGGAATATTGAAACAGCTGCACGAAATTTGTATAGAGCTGTTCTTCCCACAATGGCATTATATTCGTTTTTGAGATCCATCACCTTGAACGTCTCCATGATAACTTTGGAGGCCTGCCCAAGAGTCCCAAATCGAATTGGCATTGTTATTTCTCCAAGAGTTGGTGTAATTGTTCCGTTAAAACCTTGTACTTGATCTTTACAGGGTTTCAACTCGGTTGGATCAATCCCTATTTGTTCAAACGTGCGGAGCATTAAAATGCTTGAATATGCTCCTGTATCAACCATTATCCGATGTACTGGTATTCCGCAAATTGGTGCCGTAATCACGAGAGGATCAGAGTGTGGGTGAGCGAAATAACTAGCATCATCCACATTGAAAGTAATCGGACAATTATTCCGAGCATTGATTCTATCTCGGAGGTCGGTTGCTATGACAATTTTTCCCGAGTTATAAGCTTGTCGAGCATAAGCTTTTATTTGCCGACGTGACTCAAAAGTTTTGCCGCTACTGTTATTAACTCGGGGGATATTATGAAAACCAGGAGGATTAGAATATCCACTTCGTTGGGTCATTGTAGTTTTAGTCGAAGATGGAGAATCATTCTCCTCCGAGTTCAACATGTATACTTCTTTTTCACCTTAATGCGTTTCGGATTAATTAGACGATCTTCATCTTCATCGTCATCTGGGGGTTCTGGCAATCTGCTTTTCCGCTTATAATCAGCATTCTTAGAGAATCTTTGGACTTGTGGGCGTCTAATAAGCCGCAGTAAGGCAGAGAGTAAGCCCAGACATTCATCAGTATCATGCCCCGCCGACTTGTCTCGTTTTATCAAGTTTTTCTTCCGGAGTCCTCACAGGTCGGTGGTCGGGAAGAATTCCCTTTCCTTTCAACTTTTCAAATATGGTAGCAGCTCCAGCTGAAAAAACGTCTGATAGCTGGATTTGACCTCATTAAGACATTTAGCTCTGGCTTCTTGCACCTCAGGATTTTTAGAATTCCCGAACCGAGATCGGTTTGGTTTGAAGAACTTGTTCTTCTTCTTTTTCGATTCTTGTTCTACTTCCGACTTGTTAGGAGAAAAGTCGAGAGTAGCAACCGACATCGATTCCTCAGCTATAATGTGCTGCTGAGCTCGAGCTAGAAAATCTTGAAATGAAGTCGGTTTATTCTGATAAATACTCCAGCGGAACAAAGAATTTGGATTTAATCCGGCTATGGCCGTGACCAGCAACGTTTCAGGATGACATTGCTCCATATTTTGTACTCGTTCATTAAACCGAGCAATATAACCTTTAACGCTTTCGTTGTCTTTTTGTACGATATTGACAATAGACTCCTTTGGGATTAAAGATACCCGAGCCCCGATGAAATGAGATCGAAAAGCCGTTCTTAATTATTGCCACTTTGATATTGAACATCGGGGTAAAGAGTGATACCATTTTTTAGCGCGAGGTCCCAAAGTTAGAGAAAACATCCGACATCTAAGTGCGTCGGTTGCCCCATGAAGATCCATCCACTAGGTATATTGACCGAGATGTGCGTCAGGATATGAGGTTCCATCATAAGGGCCAATCTGAGGAACTTTGACTTTGGAGGGGAGTGGTTCCATTGTCAAATGAGGAGCCAAGGGAGTCTCGGCTTCTGGATAGACATTCTCCGGGATAGAACTCCTTCGTTGAGATTCTTCAGGAATGTCTTGCCGAGTCTCCAACTCAGCAATTCTCTTCCTCAACATTTCTAACTCTTCTGACTCACGCCTTAAACGGTTCCTTTCAATAGTATGACGTAATTCATTGTTCTCTCGTCGGAACCGATTTCGTTCAATTGTGTGACGTAAGTCAGACTGTCGATCATGTTGTGAAGTTTTCGGTGATAGGGACATCGGTTGTTGTTGACGACGCCCAGAATGACTTTCAGCAGTAATTTCTGGTCGAACTCCTTCGAGGGGACGATCGTCGACAGGAATTACACCACGATTATGAATGGCAGTATTTCGTTGCGACTCAGGTGTTCGTGGCTGAGAAGTTGCATGAGACGCAGTAGGAATATTATGTTGTTGAACAGGCGATGTCTGCTGCCTAGTTGGAGGATTTGAAGCATGAGCTTGACTAGGAACCATCATAGTTGGTTCTGTTCTTGTTTGTGCCATGAAATTAGATAGATTTCTGAGAAACTCTGGATCTTGGAAGAGAACAGAGTAGTCTATCGTCGTAGATGGCACAGTTGTATTGTCAGTGGTATGAGCAGGATGACGATTGGTTCCAGCATCTTGATTTTGTTCTTGTCGCCCAGAACTTGACATAGTGATAATACGTGCATGGAAATATTATTTACACACGTATATCGTAGATCAAAACAATTGGCAAAGGCAGGTAGGCGGCCCTCCCTCTAGCGCCAGACTGTTGTTGTATGAAATTAACAACTCAAAATTATAAACAGCTGGGTGTGTTTAAACGGAGATTAATATAAAATTGGATTTTTTTGATATGTTCACAAGAGTACAGGAAGTCGGTTTTTTGTTCTTGACCGAGATCATTTCAAGTCCATGTACAATGTGCGAAAAAAGATTCAGAAAAAAGCCCCCCGTACAACCATAAATTCTGCTATTTATAGTTCGATTGCTTTTGTCTTTTTGTCCGAGGTAGATAAGATCGCATTTAATGTTGAGCAGCTTCCATTAAACGGTGTGTAGCGGAATGAGGAAACATCTATGATTGCTTTTTGTTTTGATGGTCCAATCGAATGTGTACAACTCCTCTTGCTTAAAAATTCGATCTTCTCGGATGTCGGATACATGGATAATATTTTGAAGGTCATCTTCATAATGTTGGTGAAGTCGGTTGTCGGCTTCAGTCAACTTGGAAGTCGGTATTCAATGTGTTTAACTGGTACCGACTTGACGTGGCGAAACAATTAGTGGGTACCGAAAACTATTAACCTTCAGCTTTTACCTCATAAAACCAAGTCGGTTCAAGTCGGTTATCAACAAATTTAATAAAATAATATATGTGAATGACTATTTTGCACTCGATGTATTTGTATTATTATAAGTTGTGCCATCAGAAGTTTTCTATAAATAAGAGCTTCAGTTATAACGAAAACAATACCAAGAGAATTCTCTATATTCTCTCACTTTTCTCTCTACTTTTATAACATCTCTTACATTTTTTAAGAATTTTAGTATAACTATTTTTAATAGAAGAATACATCTATTAAAAAAGTTATCTATAAATTCATTGAATATGATTTAAGAAAAGTATTATAATATAACACCGGCAATACAAGTAATAAGTCTAATTTTAAATGTATAAAATAATGCAATTTTTTAAAAGTATTTAAAATTTAAATATTTTTTTCTTTAAAATTTCAATATAATTATTTTAACTATGTAAGTTACTCCTAAATCACGTGCTCTTATATTTCTCATCGAGTACTTACATATTGGATTGGACCGTTTGAAAACAGTATCTTCCTCAGGAAAAAAAAGAATGCGCATTAATTTATTTTTCTGGTGTAATCTATAAAATATTTTTACGGGCTCCT